ACACACACACACACACACAGGTACACATACACACAGTGAGTACTGACCTTGGCGTTAGGCCCCTCCCCACCCAAGGCCATTAGTTGAGCTACTGTGTGTTCCCGCAGACTGTTGATCTCCGCCTGCTGCCGGCGCAGTTTGATCAGCAGCAGAGTCAGCTCTTCGGGCTGGATGCATCATTCCACAGGAGGAAAAACAAAGACTACAATTAACTCTAACACAAAGCTGAAACATTCAAGAATGACCTTTAAATGGCCACTTTATTATCTGGGTCTCCAAAAAAACTCTTAAATCCCTTCAGCTCATCCAAAATGATGTTTTCAGAGTTCTGATGAGACTTAGATTTTTCTCCAGTTTTAGCTTATTTCCAATGTTCCCGTCAATTTTTTAGAAAATTATGTTTATTTTTTTATTATTATTTTACTTCTAACACACAAAACTATCCACAACCAAGCTCCATCTTATATTAAAATCTTGTTCCATATTTTTCTAACAGATCACTTCACTCTCAGAATGCAGGTTTACTAGAGTTTCCAAAGTAAATTGAGAAGCAAAGCTTTCGGATATCAGGTTCTTTTGTGGACCTAATATTCAGTTTCTGTTCATAAGGCTGACATTCTGTCTACTTTTAAGACTAAATCTAAGACTTACCTTTTCCTTTAAACTTAATTTATTTATTTTTTTTTAACATATGGGTTATTAATGAGGCAAATGCTGTTTCAGAGACTCTGGCCTCTGGAGGAAAGATCCCAAAGATAGTATAGATCAGTGGTTCCCAAACTTTTTATCTTCTGACCCACAAAATATTCATTGCAAAAACTTGTGACCCCAAATATTACTGGTCTGAGTACACAAACTTTGTTAATAACCCTAAAAACAAAGGCTTTTTGACAATCTAAACAGCTTGTACACAAATATAAACGCTTATTTATACTTATTTTGTGTTTTTGTAATATATAAAGGGGAAATATTACATCACCAATTATTTTATTACCCTTTAAATTGATTTCTGAAGTGCAGTGGTTCCCAAACATTTCAGCTTTTGACCCAYAAAATAACAGTAGCAGAGACCTGTGCCCCCAGCTAGTTTTGGATGATAAACATTTGTATGAGGTCAACGTGGGCATAGTAACAATATTTATTGTTCTACATTTATATGTTTTAGGCAACTAAGGCAAAAATGTAATTAATTTATAAAATCTTTTAAGGACCCCACCTTGATGTTTCAGGACCCCACTTTGGGTTCCGACACCAAATTTGGGAACCACTGGTATAGATAGTGTTCATGTGGAATAACCTTAAGAAATGTTCCCAAAAACTGTTTATGACTGACAATTTAAAAAAAAAAATCCAAAAAATGGAGTGAGTGATCAATAGGCTGATTAGTGCTGTATCTGCTGTGATGCGTGCGATGTACCGAACTGTTGTGGTGAAGTGAAAGCTGAGCCAAAAGGCAAAGCTCTCAATTTAGCAGCTGATATACGTTCCTACCCTCACCTATGGTCACGAGCTTTGGGTAGTGACCAAAATAAAACGATTGTGGATACAAGCGGCCAAAATGAGTTTCCTCCACAGGGTGTCTGGGCTCTCCCTTAGAGACAGGGTGAGAAGCAAAACAGAGATCTAGCACTTTGAGAATACCAGGGATTGACGATTTTGAGAGAAAAATATTTGTCATTCACAGGTTCCGAACATTTTCAAAATTTAAGCAACAAGACAAGAAGCAAGGAAATAAGAGAACCACTATGAAAGTTGTAAGACATTCAGGAATCTTTCTCATCAAATCATTTACAAGCTAGTTTTCAGCAGTTGCAGCCCAGTAATATATTGTACTATCTTAATAAACAAAGTGTAGGGGAAAAAGCTTGCTACTAACCGTCTTGCCTTGCAGTGACTGTTGAGTGATGGTCTTAGAGGGAATGTGTGTTGTGAGTCGTTGCTCAGATGGAGGATCACACTGTAAGAGAGACCACAAGTTAGATTTKTGGTTTAGTCCTGACTTAATTCTAACTATTAATTTTTCAGGTTTATCTGATGCTATATCCTTTGTTTAGTAGCTAATTACCCTGAGCTGTAYTGAACAGTGTCTCTTAATAATTGCCAAAACCTCTACCCAGACAAGCCCAGATGAACTCTGGGGAAACATAAAGAAGTCCATGCAAAATATTACAATTTTATTGTAAGTAGTTTTATTTTCTTTTATTTTGAATTTAACATCCATCAAACAGTCAAAAATGCTCACATATACTGTAAAAAACTTATTTTAGGTGTTCAGCACKTTGGCCAATGTGGTGTTATTTAAAGTGCATTTTAAATAAAGTTCTATTGCATTGTACTGTAAAAAAGTATGGCAATAAACTGACTCTAAATCAAGTGTTTATTTAAGCACTTCAATCAAATCTCCCCTRTTTCTTCTCTTTTTTAAAGTTTTATTTTCTTTAAACCTACCCAGGCAATATATATA